TGGCAGAGATCACAACACTAGAAGACAGAACCCACTCTGGGAGTACAGGAGGCTTCTGGCCTTCGAGGTGGGACACCAAAAACCTCTGGATGAGTCTTCCATGTTTCAAGAATTGCTCGTTAGTGGATTCTGTTCAACAAGAACGAAGCTCTGTGGTGTGATGTGGGTTTTACCAACACCAGTGGGTTCACTGGGGGGGTCAAAGATACCAAAATTATCCCTTTTTTGGTGTTTGACAGGGCCCCAGTGGCCTAATGGATAAGGCACTGGCCTTCTAAGTCAGGGATTGTGGGTTCGAGTCCCATCTGGGGTGAGGAAAAGTGGTTCTGTTTTAGGTGAAAGCCAAGTAAAAGAGGGAAGTGCTCCTCGCTGGTCCCCAGGATTCACTTGAGGCACAGTGAGGTGTCAGGGCTCTGCTCTGCTGCACCCTTGAGGCTCTGCTGCAGACACCCAACCTCTTTGGAATGTGGGAAACACTGAGCTCTCCCCTGACACAGCCCAGATCAGCGTTTCCATCTGCAAAAAGAGCTCAAACCCCACACCCTGCCCCAGTCAGGCTGCCAGGAGCACACCAAAGCACTCTGACATCCCTCCCAGAGAGCCCTGCCCAGGCTGGGCCTCTTCTGCACACCTTGCCTAGCAAAAATACTACATCTTCCCCTACCTAAGGTTTTTCTGCATAGAGTATAGAATCATTCAGGATGGAAAAGACTTCTCAGATCATTGAGTCTAACTATTACCCCAGCACTGCTGTGTTCACCTCTGAACCATGTCCCCAAGTTCTACATCCACAAGTCTTTTGAGCACTTCCCGGGGCAGTGAATGCACCGATTCCCTGGGCAGGGTACAGGGGTGCCTGCCAGCCACCCCCATAGGGAAAGGTGTCTGCAGCTCCTTGTTGTGCCTTAACCCTTACAAACAAGGGGGTGTCGCTACTTCTGATGATTTTTTGACACCAAAAGTCATCACACACCAACATCAACTGGGACAGCAACAGCCTCAGCTGTTCTCACAGCAGTTCTCACTTCCAGGATCACCTGCTGCTCAGATCTCCCTCCCAACACTGTGCCGTGAGGTTTGCAAAACTTTGGTGAAAGCAAAAAAAACCTTAGAGCCCTGGAGCAGCAGGTGACACAGGGGCGTGGAGGAGCTGAGAACTGCAGAGATTGAAAAAAAAACCATTCCAAGGTTGTAGTTTGCAAAACGGTCTCACCCAGGCCGAGATTACCCGAGAGAGGGAATATGGGCACAGAGAAACGGGAGCATCGCATCGCCGCGCACGGAACCGGGGGCGAAGAACCGCGGCGAGAAAAAGAACCACCCCAGATGGGACTCGAACCCACAA